GGTACATGTATTGTTGCACCCCTAACATATTTATATATGTAAAGTGAATATAACATTTTTAACATTATAAGCTATAGCGGTAGTGATGTCAAACTTCAATCATGTGTAACTTCATTTAATGCTGCACTGAACTGTGCACTCATAATATAAAATCAATTTCTGTTATTGTCGTTTGTTACAGATGAAGACAGAAGCTTCAAAACTAGCATTTTCAATTATATATAAAAAAGTTAAAAGCGCCATATCCTGGAGGCTGCTAGAACAGTTAAACTGCTTGTGGCCAACTGAGGTTTAAATCACAATCTGAGAGTCTGCTTCCAGATCAAAAACAAAAGGGCACAAATTTGAATACCATTTACAGCTGAACTAGAATGTCTATTTTTGTTTTTGTTCTGGGGATAGGTCTTTTGGCAGTAACAGAAATAAATTACCAGACCCAATGCGAATATTGCAATGGAAGTGAAAACAGAGTGGACTGGGCAGCATTCTTTACCTACCTACCTACCTACATTGATTTCTGGATGTCTTTAATATATTAAAAAAAATCACAAGTCATTTTGTTGAAGAAAAAGAAGCAAAAAGGACAATTTAAGAACTAATTTGCTATGATCTGTACATAGAAAGTTAAGCATTCAACTAGAACTTGTATTGGGGACTAGTTTCGTCATGAAGCATCTTTAAAAGTTGCTTTAAATTTATGTAAGATGATATTTCTCACTTGCCTATTGTGGACAAGTAAAACAGCACACATGYTCATAATGGGGAAGGCAAAATAATAATAAAAAAAATCTGCAGTTGACAATCTCAGCCCTGCAGATTGCGCAATGGGAGCAAACTAAACAACATCAGTGGTAAACATTTTCCACAGAGTAGAAAAAAAAAACTAATTCCATGCACTGCGCCACACTTCTTTTAGATTTCACCAGGCTCAATCAAGAGCCSTTTATTCTGAAACTCACATCTTCAGACAGGGGAACCAGAGCTGCCACAAAATGGCTCTGGGAACAATGTGCAGGCTTGATTGCTCTATTGTGAGCTAGCTTTGGCCTTTGACATCTCCTCCTGAACCGAGAGTGTCTAATTCTGACAAGAATCGTCTGGAGACACAGCTGGAAGGCATTGTTACAAACAGGTGCCATGCAGCGCCACTTCGACGAAGAAAGCACGGAGTAAGACAATAACTAGTAGCAAAAATTGCTGCAGTATAAAAAAAGAAACGTCTGTTTGTCTACACATGCCCTGGTTTTTTTAAGTCCTTTAAAAAGGCTCACATATAGTGTCTGAAAGGTATAAGGTGTACAACAGAGGGAGCACACTGAGCAAAATCAGTCCCAGAAGGTACATGTGTACCCTTTTGTTCATTTAGCTGCTGCAGAATACGCAGGGTGTTATGTCTGCAGGGCAGTAGAGTGCCAGGCAAGAAGGGTGAGATTCAACCCGAGCCCATGTACGGGGAAAAAAGAGAAGAAAAATACAGTAYAGATCTGACAAGAGAGAGTATCTGTCATCAAAAATTATGCTACTGTGCTGACATCAAAGAAGGAAGAGACAGAGCTACTGAAAGAGATGGAGGTCAGGTCAGTGAGCCGAGACATCGTACTCAAAATCAGAAATCCTTTTGGTGCATCCAGACATCATGAAGTAAACAACCAAACTCACTTTGTGCATTCAACATTTAAAGAAACAGATAAATAGATGAACAAATAACGTTCGCATTTACACAAAAAATTGCAATAAAGCAGTTATCGTTAGCAGCAAAAGATGGCTACTCACAGCCTTTGTAGATGTCTGTAGGAATCTGGACGGCACTGGAGGAGTAGTTGACCTTGTTTTTGAAATTTGGATCATCAACAAACTCCAACTCCAGCGAGTTYGAGATCTCCAGCGGGGTTACCTCTTCATCGTCCTCTGTCTGCTGAAAACACACGTGTGCATGCAACAAACACAAATCGGTGTCAACAAGCAAATAAGTGGGTAAAAAAAGCAGGGTTTAGATTAAAATGGTAAATTGCAAATGATCACTTTTCATATGGACCTCATTATTGTTCACAGTACGTAATCCCTCTTCCTGACTCACAGAATTTGGGTAATATTACATATTTCTTTTTTTTTTTTTTGGTAATTATTCCACCTGTTGTACGCTCTTGAATTTAGTGGTTCTCTCCTCTGATCAGCAAACAGCAGCAGGTATCAAAGCGAATACCAACTGGGGAAATTCATTAGTGGCCCTGATGACTATCACAGGTGCCAGATGAATTAACCCCAACAATAACCAGCAACCAGCACCACTTAACCACTGTTTTGTTTTGCACCAATACGAACAACAGCTTCATTACACACCTCCTCTCTTGCCTGAAACCCATTAATATCAGCCTGATTTATTTTTCCTATTTTTAGCTCTTTCACTTGGTCCAGTCTACACGATTAAAAAGCCTGACACACGTTGTGTGTGGGAAGCACTAAATATCAAAGASAGCCGCCATGTTAAAAAGGAAACACTGACATCCACAGAATAAGGTGAGCTTTTAAGAAATGGCTGCGAAACAAAGAAATCTCTGCCTGACTCAGTTAATTAGCTTATTTTTTTTCAGTTTTGACATCAAAGTGTGTTCAGTAAAACATTGTGTGATGAATCATGTGAAAAGCTGTACAAATCAACAGTCAGGATGTAAAATACAGATTAAGTTTTTGTAAATTAACACCACTGAGGTTCCACTAAATTTCTTTTCCCCCTAATATTTCATAAATAATAAAAAGATAAAACTAATTTCAGATGATTACCATGCCTTTCAGTCCTTAAAAAATCTCCCAAAAAATACTATAAAAAATAATGCAAAGATGCTCTTTTTGTTTTGATAAAGCAGGACGGGTTAATTGGATCTGACATGACTGAAAACAATTTTTTTAAGAATATGAATTAAAATCCCATGTCCACAGCAGAAACTTGATTGATGGCCTCACTTTAATTGACTATTAAAATACAATTATGAACTGTCATCAAGATGAGCCAGGGGAATTTTTGCGATGAAGCCCCACCGCAAGGGAAAAAAAAAAAAAAAAAAA